TATTATTATAGATAGTATTGAAATTATTTATAGTATTGACGAGAAATTACAGATAGTATTGATGGAAATTATGGATAGTATTGAACGGCAATTACAAATAGTGTTTATAGAAATTACTGATAGTATTCATGGGCGTTTCCTTCAACGAATTACAATTAACAGAGTTCAAAGAAAACTGCAGAGTTACGATCGCCTACGTGGACAAGGTTTAAAAAAGTGAATAATAATGACTTGCGAGATAAGCTTGCTAACCATGATTTTACGACGCATCACTCCTAAACATGTATATATGTAAGTATTTTTTTAAGTTTTACCTGTTATGAATTAAGATGTACAGTGTATTATCCCTTCAACTGTCTTTCTCAATGTGGTAAAAAGATTGTTTCTTTTTTCCTATATCAACAGTTTTCGGCATGTAAGTGTCTAAAATATTCAAGCCCGTATCTAAATAAATATTTAAATAAGCTTACATGAAACAGTAAAAGAAAATAATAAGCTGCCTGAGCTTTTAGAATTATATATAGAGAAAAAACAGAATGATTTAGTTTCACTACTATCTTTTAGTACCAGATTAAGTTCAGTTTATTATATTTAGGTGCGTCCAATTATTTATAGCGCTCTCGTTTGAAAATTTGAGATGAAAACAGCGTTGAAAATCTATTTTTCGACAGAAACTTACGCACATTCAAAAAAAAAATTCACCCAAGCCAGGAAATAATACCACTAGGACGCAAGGGGTTACTGGGAGTGAAAGAGAATGAGACTTTAGTGAGCAGAATTGAAGAGAAAGGACAATAAAAGAACAGACTTCAGACAGACAATATGAGAACTGCTCATAATTAAACAGTAACATATTTTTCATCAGTGTCAGTTACTAGTTTCCAATACCCTAATGCAGATTTTCTAGGCAAACATAGGAAAGGAGGTTCAGGAAAGCAATTTTCTTCCGAAGACATCACACAGTTGGTCCTGGGCTAAATTTAGAAAATAGAGTTGTCGATTCAGAAAGCTTGTTGAACTATTAAATATTTTATAAAGAGAAAGACATATCATTTTTTATCCCCTCTCTCTCTCTCTCTCTCTCTCTCTCTCTCTCTCTCTCTCTCCACACACACACACAAACACATTTATGACAAGATTACGGGAAAGCATTTGACACGAACCGCTTGCCAAAACCTAATGAAACATCATAATTTATTTTTGGAAAGGTTTCTGTGTCGGGCATTCCGTTTATTTATTTATTTTATCTAATTACCCTAAGCAAGGTAGTAATGCCACTGTGAAAGAATACAAGACAGAAACATTACTAGGAAGTGAGAACAGTAGAAGAGGTAATCTAGAGGACAGTAAATAGCAATTGACATTGCATTTAAATTTTTGAAAAATAAAGTTAACTGGAGCTGGAATGACGTTCCACGAGCGATAAGTGCGAGAAAAGAGTCTGTTAGCATAGAACTTACACCTAGCCAACTTAACTGTAAATTGATGAGACCTTACTGCCAATCTAGTACTACTGCGCTTAATTTCAAAAATTCTAGGTAGCATCGCGAAGAGCGATATTTATTTCTGTTATGTACAGAAAATGTGGCACAAGCCCAAAAATGGGGAATGGGGGAAAAGGACGGTCATCCTCTGTCTTAATTCTAAACTTAGCTAGTTACAAACACTGATCCAATCATACAACAATATTCCTTACACTAAAACAACGCATTTTTACCTACCTTTCTTACTACAGCCACCATAATACCTCATTGTCTCCATGAAAGTCCTAACTAGTCCCCTTGTGTACAATTCATTGTCTAGGGGGGGGGAAACAACAATTAAAAAATAGTTTTTTTACAATATGAAGACAAAACTATTTGCAAAAAACTAAACAAAATAATGCAACATAGCGAAGAGCTCATCCGAACAATTACCATGAAAGTATTTATAGAAAAGACACAGGGAAGTAACCTTACGGCGGTGGGAAAGTGACTGAAGCCGAGCTGCCAGATCTGGACCAATAATATTGCCAATTGGCCTTTGGATTTTATCCAGAATCTCTAAATATATAGCAGGAGCAATGGACCATATGTGGTAGGAATATTCAAAACATGGACGTATAGTAGACTTATAGATATGTAATATAGATTCTGGAGAGAAAAAAAACTGTCTAACACGACATAATGATTCAAATTTCTTAGCAGTTGAATTTGCAATGGATTCAATGTACTCTTTCCAATTCATGTCAGCCGAGAATGTTAGCCCGAAAAGACACAACGAGTCACTCTCCTGGGGGTTAGTACCAGACATACTTATGGAAAGCAGAAAAGGTCTCTCAGATTAATAGAAAGCAGTTTACTTTTGGATGCGTTAAAAGTGTCAAGCCATTCTTTGACCCAGTTAAAAGAGTGAAGTTTGTTTTTGACCTTATCGAACAGATCAGACTCACTATCATAACAGGAGTAAATGGATGTGTCATAAGCATAGATACCAAGTTGGGAGCTAGTGTCATCAGGAAGGTCTTTAATGAAAATTAAAAAGTGGGGGCAAAGATAGAGCCTTGAGGGATACCTGCATTAGTACAAAAGGATCTAGAAGAGTGGCCGTTTAGAATAACTTTTATTTCATGATTTGATAAAAAAAAAGACTGAATCAGTTCAAAAATTCTTCCGGAGACACCCTAACTTTTCAACTTGTGAAGAAGACCGATACCTCAAACCCTGTCGAGCGCTTTCGAGATGTTCAAAGCAACAGCCCGAGCTTGACCATTCTTTTTCTAAAGCTTGATAGACTTCTTCAGCAATAATCATTAATGCATAAGTATCTGACCAAAAGAAACGAAAGCCATATTACTAGTCTGAAAGAAGACCCTGCGATGTGAGATGCTTAACTAATTCAGCATTGATTAGAGCCTTTAGTAGTTTACCAAAATGTTGTAGACGTCTAATACGCCGATAGTTAGAAGGGTCAGATAGTTCACCTGACTGGAACAACAGATGAGGATTTTCAAGTAACAGGAAAGCAAGAGACAGCAAGGAATTTATTGTACAGTTTAGAGAGAACAGGAGCCAGATCGGTAACACGTATCTTAAGGATTATTACAGGGATACCATTAGGTCCACATGCCTTGTGGGGATCCAGATTAGAGAAAACCAGGAAAGAGGTTATATGCATAAGATCCAACAGAAAGTCAGTTCTAAGTGGAAAGTTAGGCAAGGATTATCCTAATGAGTTAAGAGTAACGTTTAAAAAATTTACGGTCCAAACATTCTGCTTTATCAGCAGATGTTAAAACCTAAAACTGATTGAAAAGAGTGGAATATAAAATTCTTATTTAATACACTATTACAAAGCAGCCAGTAATCACGAGAACCAAAGTGGTTAGATGCAATACGGTAGCTTATTCTCTAAGCAAACGAAGACTTAGCTCCTTCGAAGACACGTTTACCTTTATTACATATGTCCACATATAGGCGTCTGTTGTGATCGGAACTCTCATGCAGGTATAGCCAGAAATAGTGGGCTATAGCGGCAGAAGATGCTGATGTTAAATATGGAGAAGATTGTGGTTTCCCCTGGTATTTTCCATGGAATAAAAGCCTGTGACGCAATTTCTCAATTAAAATTTCAATTGAAGGTTAAAAATATCAATCCATCTGGCATCACGAAGAAAGTCACGAAGTGAATCCCAATCAGCATGTTGGCTACGGTAAGAGGTTTTATGAATATGAGTTTCCTATTTAATAGATGATTGGAACGAAATATCAGTAGATACTATAGTGTGATCCGCATTGCCAAGACGACAGTGTTGCGAAGTTTGACAAGAGCTAGGAGAGGAGATAAGGAATAAATCAAGTAAAGAAGCATTTTGATTAAATTTATTAGTGAAATGAGGAGAGAAATTTAAGATTTAAGAAAGGAACTGAACAACAGAACAATTGAAAGCCTGAATAGAGGCAACATCAGTAACATTAGAGTCCTTAAGCCACTTCCGCAATGTGTATTAAAATCACTAAACTAAAGGCTGAGAGAGCAATTTCTATAATGTCAGAAATATATTACAATCCTGAGTAGAGTGGAAACTATAAAGAAAAAAGATACAGCTAACAGAGTGTAAAAACGAAAGTCGAAAGTACATGAAAGAGTTGCCTGAGTACTCGAGTGACAATTCCCTTGCCATTGGAAGATTTTCCAAGATTTAAACACCAAAGTTAGTAACAAAAAAATGTTTTAGCTCTTTCAACCATCTCCCATTTAATTAGTGTGAGTGTGTGTGTGTATGTGTGTGTGTGTGCGCTCGCGCGTGCGTGTATATGTATATTTAGGTAGAAAATTCTCTTTTAGTTTTAGATATGTCTGATTAAATAAATTACAGACATTATGTCTGCTTATTTTTAACATGATCCGATCATACTCACGAATAACCTTTTGTGTTTTGCAATTAAATTTCTCACATCATTTAATTGTAATAGACGGAAGATTATTCGTGAGTATGAACGGATTATGTTAAAAATAAGGCATAATGTCAGTAATTTTTAATGCGACATATATATATATATATATATATATATATATATATATATATATATATATATGTGTGTTTTTATATATGTTCCGTCTACCGGCTTATGTCTTTCGGGATTTTTTCTTAATGAAGAGATTATCGCTTTTAGCAGGATTTGAAATTGCACACAACTTCGCGGCAGGACACGACTGAATTTTCCTTAAGTAGGAAAAATGCATTACTTTCTTTAAAATGTCTCTCACTCTCTTTCTCTCTCTCTCACACACACTCTCTCTCTCTTAATCATTTAGCCATTTTCAACTGATGAAGTGAGTAATTTGTTCATCATAGTTAACGAATATAGATAGATAGATAGATAGATAGATGTCTCTCACTCTCTTTCTTTCTCTCTCTCACTCTCTCTCTCTCTTAATAATTTAGCCATTTTCAACTGATGAAGTGAGTAATTTGTTCATCATAGTTAACGAATATAGATAGATAGATAGATAGATAGATGTCTCTCACTCTCTTTCTTTCTCTCTCTCTCTCTCTCTCTCTCTCTCTCTCTCTCTCTCTCTCTCTCTCTGTCTGTGTGTGCAATAACGATAAAATGTGAAATGAATGTTGTCATAATTAAAATGCGATTTATTTTCTAAATTTAACAAAATAAAATAAAATAAAATAAAAACAAACTCAAATATTCTACCCTTTGCATACCTTGAAAGTACGACGTCCAGCAAAATAACTAAAAAGCAAATCCAGCAAAGTGCATTGAACGTACGTTCAGCAAACAGTCTTGTTTAATACTATTTTTAAAGCATTTCATGCCAAGAAAGGCGGAATAGCCACTAGCACACAAGGGGTTACAGAAAGTGAGAGCAATAGTAAAGAGGTGGGTGTTTGAGGAAAGGATATAGACAAGGACGGGGATCAAGATCAAGGCATCAGAAGATGTCGATTGGCATTACATTTGAATATTGGAAGATTATAGCTATCAGGGAAGCAAGTAAGAGGAAGGGAGTTCCACTGTCGGGAAGTGCGAGAGAAGAAGCTGTTGGAATAGAAAAGACGGTTACTTTTAACTGTTTCGACAGTAAAAGGGTGGAAGCGAGATGCCAACCTTGTAGCACGCTTAAATTCATGCAGTTGAGGCATCATTGAAAATAGCTCTTCTGAGCAGTTGCATGAAAATATTTGTTGAAAAGACAGCAGGAAGCCACATCACGTCTGTGAGAAAGTAACTGAAATCGAAATGCCAGGTCAGGACCTATCATATTGCATATCCGTCTTTGGATAAACCAAAACTTTATAAATATCAATCAAATAGAGTTCATTTTAAACGCATATATGGCGCACCAGAATGTTTTCTTGGTAAGGTCTATTCTCTCCCGAGGGTTCAGCCAAGAGTAATAAAAAATGAAAATTCGCATTTGGAATAATTGAAAAATAATGTCTAAATAAAGGGTATTTTAAAACTTGTAAAATTCTGTGATACATGAAAAAAAGATTTATTACTTGACTTGTCTTGATATTTACAATGGAAAGAAAAATGTGTTTCATTGATCCTTCAGACTGGAACACCCACTTTGCCACTGATGAAAAATACTCTAATATTTCAGCCACGAGGCAAGATATTTGCTCAGATTGATTTGATACAAGACAGAGACAAATGTGACTAAGTAGAAGAAAAAAGGACTAAAAGGAAGAATGATCTGACTTCCTATAAAATCAGCATCCTAAATCTTGGCTTTTACATGGGTTTGAACACACTGATATCTAACAATGGTATATAAGTAATTATTAGCGAAGTTTATTAACAGGATTTTTTAATTAATAATTTACTAGGTGCAGTATAATTATTACAGAAACAAGTCTTATTACTAAAGGTCTCCGCTTAAATTTTTAGAGACAGTATAATTAGTATAGAAATAAGGGTTATTAATAACAGTTTTTCTTAATATATCTTAATATATAGGCAGTATAATTAGTACAGAAACAGGAGTTATTAAGAACGTTTTTTTTTTCTTAATATATCTTAGAGGCAGTATAATTATTACAGAAATAAGAGTTATTAAGAACGTTTTTTCTTAATATATATTAGGGGTAGTATAATTATTACAGAAATAAGAGTTATTAAGAACGTTTTTTTTTCTTAATATATATTAGGGACAGTATAATTATTATATTAACAAGAGTTATTAAGAACTTTTTTTTTTCTTAATATATTTTGAAGTGGCATACTTATTAAATAAACAAGGTTTAAGGTTCTTTTCTTAATAAACTTTTAAGAACAGTATAATTATTACAGTATGATTATAATTATTAATTTTTTTTTTCATTGTTAATTTTTCTGAGTAGTTCATGATCAAGTTGATCATCATGACATTTATATTAAACTTGATATGCCGAATTAAGCCAAGATAAACTTACAACAATTATATGCCACGACTTGGAACCATGTTCTTGATATCGATATCAATAAAAATCAATGCAATTCCTTCCAAATCAAAACTGCAGTTAAGAAATCTCATAAGAAATTTCAGATTCAACCTCACAATTATTTATTAACTGACGATTTATCAGTAAAAGTACAGATACATAATCCATAATGAACATCGAATTGATTGCAGATTTAGATCTTCATCTTCAATGATTCAACTAAATAGAAATATAACATAATTACTTTCCTTAATTAAAAAATTCTATGAAATCTAAAGATTTTTTAGTTAAATCGACTAGCGCAAACAATATATAGTTTTAAAATGGTACCATACTTACTGTTGATGATAAGTCAAAACCACTTGTTTGTTTGTGTATATGTTTGTGTGTCTATGTGTGCGTGTTTGTACATCTGTGTGTCTCACATATAGACATACAATGTAGCAGCTTGAATGTAAAAGAGTAAAATGGCTAATTTGTTTCAAAATAAAACAAAACAGATATTTCGCTATATCATAAAACAATAATGATGGATAGTATTTATGAGAAAAGACATCACACAGAGGACAGATGAGTTAGTTATATTGCTTCGAGCATGATTTAAGCATATAGCCTCGTCCATGGACCAAATGGTGAGGTACAAAATGTATATTTATTATTAGTATTAGAGTCGAGTTCGAATTCCAGTCGAATCCATTACATTCACTTACGTGCTAATACCCTTGGAAAAAGTATAAATCCTATTTTTCTCCCTCACAACAAGATAGACCTATAGCTTTGGATGGCAACTGGTCTACCGCGGGAAAAATCTGCTTCTTCAGCTATGTATCAGAAGATAGATGATTGCCTAAGCGTGTATCACGTATGGCACATAACTGACTGATGTGTGTGTGTGTGTGTGTGTGTGTGTGTGTGTGTGTGTGTGTGTGTGTGTGTGTGTGTGTGTGTGTGTGTGTGTGTGTTAGACATAGAGTCATTAGTGTCCATTGTAGTATATATGATGTTTGACCATTTGGCCAGATTTTGAGAAAATAATCTGACTCTTTATCTGTTTTTCCACCTCGTGTTATATTCCTTCTTAAGTCAACATTGATGGCTACGATAGACTAGAGAATATGCAAATTGTATCATCAATAACGGCATAGAATCAAAATGTTTGAATAATTATTTTCAAGGCTTACAGCTTAGATTTATGTAATCAATTGCTTTAATCGTCATTCTAGAGTAAATTTGTTTATATATCTAGCTAGCCAGCTGTCTATGTTCATGATCTATCTATCTATACCAGACTGTTCATGATCTATCTATCTATCTATCTATCTATCTATCTATCTATCTATCTATCTATCTATCTATCTATCTATCTATCTCAGTCTGTCTTTTGTCCATCTATCTATCTATCTATCTATCTATCTATCTATCTATCTATCTATCTATCTATCTATCTATCTATCTCAGTCTGTCCTTTATCTATCTATCTATCTATCTATCTATCTATCTATCTATCTATCTATCTATCTATCTATCTATCTATCTATGTGTTTGTCCGTCTGTCTTCCTCATTCTGTTCACAACCATCACAATTTGTTTATATGGCAACCACTTCATATTTATCTATCAGCCTGTGTGAGTATGTGAGAATGCGTGTGTCGGTGTCTTTGTCTGTGTATATGTTTGTCTGTGCGTAAGGCAGCAAGTATTCACCCAAAATAAGATTAAATACGACCGACAGGGTCTGTCTGTTTAATTTTTTTATATACAATAAAAAATTAAACAGACAGACTCCGTCGATCGTATTTAATCTAACTTGTTTGATCTTATCTTATCTTATCTCTAGTCTCTCTCTCTGTTCGTTTATATCCATATATGCTAAGTCTGCTTGTATTTTTCATCTGTATCTGTCCTTCGCTTATCTGTCCATATTTTCTCACACATTTACTCCTTCTCTTTCTGTCCTTGCTCGTGTTATCTTTCAATCACTTGATTTTCTCGTGTCTGCGCACACGCTCGTGCGTACGCGTACGAGCATCAAGTCCTGTTTACATCATAACTATGCTTTCTACCTCACTTTTCTTTCCCCCACTCCCTTCACACTTTTTTTCTTTTTTTGGGGGGGGGGGTCTCCATCTTTCTGTCTACCACTGTCTTTCTATTCAGTCTTCTTCCCCGCCCAGGCCACCAGTTTCTACAGCACGGCATCTTCATCTTTCTACAGACTTGAGATGCTAATTCTCGCAGCAGCTGCTGTTGTTGTTGCTTCGGTGGTTGTTGTTGTTGCTGTTGTTGTTGTTGTTGTTGTGATCGTTCCAACTGCTACCGACTCGCCGACCTCGCTTTTACAAAGGGCCTGCCACACCGACATTACACTGCCACCACTACTTCCTTCTTTGAAAGCAACGTCTGCTAGTCGCCCTCCACTTGCTAAAGTTTTACTTTTTTTCTTTGCGTATTCTGTTTTTTTTTTTTTTGTTTTTTTTTTCTTTTTCCCTTTTACAACTATTAGAAACGACTGCTCGCTAAATTGAGACATATCATATTACGACTAGCTTGGTGGATGGCCCGACTTAGAAAACTTAAATCGTCTACAAATCCGTCCTAAGGACAAGTGGTAAAAAGCTGACACTTGCTAAGGAAGTTTTACAAACAGAGTATACTCGGACAATAAAAAAAAAAAAATGGAGAAAAATAAGAATAAATTCAATTAAATAATATTAATAATAATAACTTAATAAATTTATTGGCATAATTTATTGACATAATAATACTGGCACCAGTCAAATGCATAATAAAGCAAAATTATATTGCACTGCTAAAATTGAAATAACTAACTAAATAATTAATAAAAAATTTAAAAAAAAGGAAAACAAATAGATTCATAGTGTCAGTGGTGGAGAATCCCCTCACAGTTGAAGAGACTTGAAGTAACAAAAATCTGGTTCTAGAGAAGCATAAGGAAAATACCATAGACTAAAACATGTGAGCAATAAGGAAGTTTTAGAGAAAATGAAAACAAAAAGGACACTTATACCCAACATCAGGAAGAGACTATTCAGGTTTCTAGGAAACATACGGAAGAAAGAGGACTTGGAAAATTTGATACTCATTGGACTGATTGAAGGCAAGAGGGACAGAGGAAAACAACGTGTAACCTACCTAACGAGTTAGAGTAAAACAAAAGAAAATATTGTTAAGAGCTACAAAGGACTGGGAATTGTGGAGAGTCATGATCACCCACGAACCGAAGGGACACGGCACCTAAAAAAAGGAAGTTGTGTAAATGGATGATAGAACAGTGTCTAGGATAAATAACAAAAAAATGATTAAGAGCTACAAAAGAAGAGGACAATTTTGCAGAGCAATGATCGCTCACGTCCTGAAGAGACACGGTACATAGAAGAAGGTTTAAACAGTTATCCTGGAAAATAAACATACAAATATGTAAAACTATTAAACTTGTAGAAGGAAAATAATATATTATAGTCGAATGATAAGCATATGAAATACAAGTTACTCAAAACAGTTTAGTACTGGATTATATCCAGTAAAATTTTGTACTAAATTATTTTGTACTGTATTATAATTAAAAGTTAATTATGTGGCTTCGAGCGAGTGAAGCCTATCTGTCCATCCTTCTATAAACATTGTGAACTGGCGCTACAAAATCACAGACGAAGAACTGTACCAAATAACATAAACCACGTTACTTGAGAACATCCAATGGCAGGCGGCAATAGCTAAAATAGCAATTAAATATAACTCGAAGAGAAAATAATAACATAATAAAGTGGTTGACGTTCCACGCTACTTCAAACAAAAGGTTAGGAAGGAAACCCCATCAATACTGAAAGGAGAGGTAACGACTACTGGACTTGCGAAATATATTTTCTTGAAAAATTGTTTTAAGAGAAAGATTTTTATAAATTTTAACCGACAGTAGTACTGGCTGCATGTTTAATGAATGCCAAATGATTCCTTATGAGGAAACGTCTAATATTGTCATTATCATTACTATATATATATGGAACTGATTTTTCTCTCTGATCAAAAGAATGAGTAAATATGGACCTTCATGCCCGCAAAGAAACGAATTATCAAAATATTTTTTATTCCATGAGACTGCTTTTATTTTAACTAATTTCAATTTTTTATGTTGTTTATTGTTTTAAAAAGTGATTATTCGAATTGTAATCCAACATATAAGGAAACTGTATTTATACTTTTTTTTAAAGAATTCACAACAAAAATATTAAGATGTAACAGTGGAGAAATTTATATAAAGAAATGAAGAAAAAAATGACCTTATTATCTCAAGTTGTCCAGAACTTACGAAGGCCAAATAAAACTACAAGCAGATGAAAGCAGCATATTATCACCATAAACTAGCAGGGAAGAGTGAAAACTTGATCATAGGTGCGCAGAGGATACATAAAACGGAAAACGGAATTATTCCCAATAGCAGTTAAAAACAAAACTAACTAAAAATGCTATGCCCTATATTGATAGTCTAATAAAATAGTAATCATGTAGCAAAAGAAACGTAAAAATAAAGTGTTTCATTAATTTTGCGCAGTTGATAAAATTGGATACTGACAGAGATTTGATAAAAAGTGCGAAGATGATTTAGACCGACTAAACCAGTGGTTCTCAACATTTTTTTACCCATGGACCCCTTTCCCCTTCTTTTTATCTTGGTGGACCCCTTCATAGCTATTGGACATAAGAACAATTTTCTATTCTTCACTAATATAAATTTTAAGGTTTTAATTATCAAAGAAATAGTATACGATTAAGCTTTATTTTTAAATGAAAACTAATTTAATACAAATAAAATATTCTACTATAATTATAATAATAATTATTATTACTATTTTTAATTAACACAACAATTGTGTTTTGCCTGTGGACCCCCGGAAATATTACATGGACTCCTAGGGTCCATGTAGACCCCGGTTGAGAACCACTGGACTAAACCAACAAATACTATGAACATGAATTATTTAGGTTAGGAAACAAAGTCTAGTCAATTAGGCTTAGTAGACGAGGCGCAAAACGTAAGATTTGTGAGAACAGAGATAGAAGATAACTGAGGCTCGATCATGCTTATGAGTGCGAATTTGAAAGTTAAGAGACAGGGTAAAGAATATCAGAGCTATCCTGGATGAAATTATACACCTGGACAAAGAGACAACGTCTTAGAAGACCAAGGCTAAAAGCTCGGACATACAGTACAAGCTCTATGATTCCAGATTTAAAACAACGGGCTTGAGAGAACAGTTCTAGGAGAACAATATTAAGGAGACAAAGCTGAGGAAACTGAGACCAGAGACCAGAGAGCGACATTGCGGACTGGAAACCAGACAAAGGACAACGGAGCTATGATACTAAGCCTTAGGATGTTTGTTCTAGAAGATCAAACCTAGTTTATTTGTCCTAGAAGACTAGTCGTAAGAGAAAAGATTTCACATGCACTAAGTCAGAAGTCTAGGGAGCTAAAAGATCAGGCTTAAATCGAGCTATCAGACCATGACTAGGATACCGTAACCAAGAGTCAAGGCCAAAGAAGTTGAGCCCAGAAGAAAAGTCTAAAAGAAACGGGCTTGAGAAATTGAGTTAGGAATATATAGTGGTTTTTATAGACCAGATCTAAGAGACCAGGCCTACGAAACTATGTTTCAAAGGAGCGGGCTTGAGATATCTGGGCTAGAAAACCTGAACTATATGACTATATTTAGAAGATAAAAGCTGAGGGTGAAGAGACAATGTTTAAGAGACTGGGTTTCAAAAACAAAGCTTAAGTGAACAGGCTTAAGATACTAGACTCAAGAAACAAGGTCTCAGAGGATTAGATTTAAGTAGTCGGACTGATTAAATCAGCACTGTGAGGTCAACATATATTATAGGAAAGGAAACACTGAACTCTAAATGCAGTTTTTTTAAAATCTATTTATGGTTGTTCAAAGATACTTTTTTTCTGCACATGTATATATATATATATATATATATATATATATATATATATATTTGTACCTTGCCTTGTGAGTGAAATTGGGTAAACGGAACTCTTGGAGGCCATCAATAGCTGTGCGAACACGAAGCCATAAGTCATCGTAGAACTGTAACTAAGGTCTGCTCAGCATAGTTGCAGTATAAACCAGCTATCATATATATATATATATATATATATATATATATATATATATATATATATAGAGAGAGAGAGAGAGAGAGAGAGAGAGAGATAAGTATGCTATATATGTGTATGTAAATCAACAAATTATGTATAATCATAATTATATAATTTTCTCATTTTCTCATATATATATATATATATATATATATATATATATATATATATATATATATATGAAATATATTTACTTGTGCTATACATGCGTGTATTTGTAAAGTGCAACGTGTTTATCTTTATGCATACGAGTTATTTATACATATATAACTCCATCTATTATATAAGCAAACAAGACTATTTACATATATACATGTATATAGATGTAGACATTCTTTACGATATATATATTTTCTAATATACGTCTGTGTGTGTGCGAGTGTATGTTGTGTCTGCATATGTGTGTGCATGTGAGAGAGAATGTATGTGAACTGAACTACTTCGAATTTGAGCTTCTGAAGAATGTGAGCTGAGAAATATCTAAGAATTTTAATACCGAAAGTCTTCAAATCATTGAGACACATGTGGTACAGATTCAGACCTCGACACGTTCTTGACACCTTATAGCTCAGAATGAAATTAGACTGTTCAAGCCTAACCATAGCCCAAAATGTATATCCACTCAGCGATCTATTTCGTAATATTTCATATAAAAAGACTCTTTCTCTATAAACAATTGATTTATTTAAAGTCACACCCAGAGTTATTCTATGGGGTGTTGTACTGGATTTGAGATAAACATCCAAGAAGCAGCATTTAATACTTACCATTCACCCAATGAATTAGAAAAGAAAGGACAGAAAAGATAAATTAATAAAATGAAAAAAAAAGAATAAATGAAAGAGAAATACTCTTTATAGAGATGTAATTTTTCACCCCCTGCAAGGCAGGAAAGCCACTAAGACACAAGGAGTTACTTGGTGTGGAAGAATTAGAAACAAAAAAAAAATAGTAATGAGTGGAAAGAGAAAAGAGTAATCAGGAGGACAGTAGATAGCGATTGACATTGCATTAAAATTTTTGATGATTAAAGTTGACTGGGAAG